GCATGCTCTGACTACTAAGAATATTTCTGTATTTTGCCATGTTTCTAGATGGATCAAAAAGGTCTTGTAGATCATGGAGGTGTTTCTCATACTTGCTTGGTAGCTTTTCCCAAGTACCTCTGAGTCGTGCTACAGATGCCAGATTCAAGCCACTGCCAGGGAATAAAAGATGAGAACAGATGAGAATGAGCATAAAAACACTAAAAAGCGACTTGGGGGAGAAGGAGGACTCAGGTCAGTAAAGTATACACCAATTTTCTCTAATAAAGATAAAGTAAGTAGGGACTTACCTTGACGTGTTGAAATAAACAGAATCATGAAAAACAATGAAAGGAACTCCTTGATCTTAAAGAAAACTTCTTTTAAGAAAACTACATTACTTGCCTGTGGTTGTACACCTATATAGCCTTTACTTTATAGTTTGCATTTTAAATGACAACTATACCAATTCCATAATATAGACAGCTAAAAAATAAACTTCGAGTATCACAATTTTTTTTTGCTTTACTTAGAAATAACTTTATGGATACATTATCTATTTAAATGTGGTATAAATAATGCTGAACACAAGTACTATATAATAACTGAGGCAAGCTGTGGGGCTAAAAGCCCTCCTTCTCTGAGATTTTGGCCACTCAAGTCCCTGATTCCAACACTTCCATATCCCTAGGCCCTAATCCTGTTGTTCCCCAGGCCTCCATACATGCAACGTTCCCGTTCTACAGGATTTTAAACAAACTCAGATAGCTCTAACTTAAAAGATAATTCACGCCAATTAGGCTACAACTCCTCCCTGTCCCTCCTCACCTCTCCACTACCATCTAATAGGTAGGTTCCCGAATGAATAGTTCATACATAATGTCTCAGTCTTTTTACCAGACAATTCCTTTCTGTTCTCACCTGACTTTCACCTACACCACTGTACTTAAAATGTTCTGTAGACTTCTGATTTTAAGGTGTGGAATTAAGATATCTTTGTTCCCTGTGCTCCTCAGAAATCATCTCAAACAGCTACAAGAACAAATAAAAGAAATGCAAATTTCATCTCCAGAGAAACTAAAAGATATCTGTAACTCCTAAACACATTAGCAAGGTTACCAAAAAACAGTCAAGGTCAAATTTGAGTATGCAAAATGCAGAAAAAGGATGCTTCAACTGAATATCTCAATGAAAGCTCATAAAGCACAACTCTCCAAAGCAGGTAACTCATCCTGAAGGCAAAATCAGCAATCCCCTATGTGGAAGAATACAAAACAGTTCACAGGCTGATAGGATTAGGTAGGGGTGGTGGACTCAGTTCTTTACCAGGAAGTCAGGAAAAAGGAAAAGCAAGCTTAAAATTGTACATACAGTGATACAACATCTTGGTGAGAAGCAATTTAACTGACACAGGATAGAAGGAAGAAACTGAGCTGCCAATCTCCATTTGCTGGAAAAAAGTAAAGGGTGAAATAATTCACACACAAGCTCTATTCCTGGCAGCCTAGAATACTGCCATGGCTTCTCTCCCATGTGAGTCTCCTGCCGATATATGGTAGAGGAAAACTCAAGTCATTTAAAAAGAAGGAATGAACACAGAAGCTATGAAATGTACTATAAGGAATAATAAAGTTATAGATCATAAAGCAGAAACATGTTCCAACAATAAAACCTGGGACTGACTAATGACCCAGCCATGATTTCAAATGAATTAATAAAGAAGCTCAGTGGTAGAGTGCATGCTTAGCATGCACAAGGTCCTGGGTTCAATCCCCAATACTTCTATTTAAAAAAATCAAAAAATTAAAAATTGAAAAAAATACATATTAACAAAAATAAGATTTATTAAAAAAAAACAAAGTGATATAAGAACTTAAGGAAAATATATATGGTAAGAAAAAGTGACAAAAAATTGCCAAATTCAGAAAAGAAATGGAAGAAAAATAAAAACAATACAGAAATGAAGACAAAATTAGAACCCACATAAAGAAAAACACATTGCTAAAACCTTGTGCCAGTGACTTAAAGGATTAACAAAAGCAATGAAATGGACAAGAAGAGAGCCTTTATGAAGTCCATGTTTCCAGAGGAGAAAAGAGAACAGAATAGAACAAAACAAGAGTCTGGATACATTGGAGTAGGAACAGATTGACTATGCTGGCATCACTCTGCCCCCAAGGCAGCACAGCTTAAGGCTAAACTTGAAAGCCCATGATTTCTCCTGCAGAGGAAAGGGAGAATCAGTGAGTGAATGCCTTGCTGCCCTAGTTGTGTGGGGTGCTTGCAAACACATTCATGCTCTCTTGCAGCATCCAGACCATTATGGGAGCTCTGTGACTGAGGGGAGGGAGCATATCAGAAGAGCAGGACATAAGATTCCAAAAAGGTATTAAAGTATGTAGTTCCTGCTTCCGGATTCCAAAAGGAAACTTGCCCAGGAGCCACAGGGAAACCTCACCTATAAATGCCCCAACTGACCCATGAGCATCTGCAGCTCACCATGTGCCACACCCCTACCTCCCCCAACTCTGTTACTTCTGCTCCCTGTGCAGTCCCAAGAGAAAGCTGTGGGAGAGAGGAAACATGCACAGAAAAGAGGCCAGAGTCTGTGTGCAAAGGAGAAACCACAAACCTGTGCTGTAACGCCACCTTCAGGAAAACAAAAGAGAACCTATCAGCAGCCGACATAGTACATCCTAGGATCCAAAGAAGACATACAAGCTTCAGAATGTGCCACAAGAAGGAGCAAGAATGATGAAAGGTTTTCTTATCCTAAAGGTAGTCAGTAAAAATCAGAGGATGTGACTACTACTTCAAATGCAAAAAAAGCAATGCGAAACTCCAAGAAACATGAAAAATCAAGGAAACATGACATCACAAAAAGTTCACAATAATCTTTCACTAACCAAACCCAAAGAAACGGCGATCGGCAATTTACCAGATAAAGAATTCAAAATATCGTTTTAAGAAAACTTAGTGAGCTACGAGAAAACAAAGATAATGCAATAATATCAGGAAAATATTAAGTGGTCAAAATGAGAAATTTAACAAAGATACAGAAATCACAAAAAAGAGTCAAATGGATGTTCTGGAGCTGCATAATTAAATGAATAAAATAAAAAATGCAATAGGGAGCATCAACATCAAGTAGACCAAAGAGAAGGAACAACTGGTGAGACAGAGGACAGGAACTTTGAAGTAACTCAGTCTGAGAAGAAAAAAGAATAAAAAAGAGTGAAGAAAGACAAGGTGAGCTTTGAGAAACCACACACACACACAAAAACAAAACCCAACGTGCGAATCACTTAAGTTCCAGATGGAGGAGTGAGGGAAAAAGGGTCAAAAAGTCTACTTAAAGAAATATGGCTGAGAACTTCCCGAAATCTGGGAAGAGATCTGGTCATTCAAGTTCATGAAGCTAAGAGGGCACTCTATTATTTCA